AGCTCTGTCCTTCTGTTCTCTGATAAGCATTGTTCAGGGCTGCCATTCCCAAAAGCTTTAATGCTTTCTTATGATACTTTTGGGAAACGCAGCCCTGTTTGAATGCACTGTCAGCAGTGAGTGAATGCTCTCTGTGATTGATTGGTTCTGTCTTGCAACATTTGCGTGTGTTCAGATGAGCAGGAAAATAGTTCTATCTTACACAATTACTTGCTTACAAAGGTTATTCGTCCAATTCAATGCATAGTGTACGCATTATTATTATTATTATTATTATTATTTTTGTTAAATAAACAAAACCACTGGTAAATAAAACGCACCTTAGTATCGATATTTTTGTTTGAGTATCGATACTATCGATACTCGCGATATATCGATACTTCGGATCGATACGCCCAATCAGCAAAGCGTATTTTTCCAACCGGCCAATGGAGGGCTCGTGTGGGCGTCACGTGACTAAGCACGGAAGTGTTAGAAGCATGCACAGTTGGGAGACTGACCTAGACCGGAAAATAGATTAATAAACCTAATAGATCCCCGTTTTTGTAAAATGAGTTAGATGTATTGCTAGTAAATACCCAGAACCGAGCAATGCCTGTAGTTCCTGCGAACCAGCCGCAGCTGATCCGCTCGAGTCAGAAGGATGAGTACTACCAGAACAACCTGACAAACAACGCCAACGAGCTCTTCCACGCATGCGCGGGTAAATCACTCACAGACACACTTGAACGCAGGAGTTATTTAAAATGCATATGCTACACATTTATATTTTGCTTACATTTTTCCCCCTATATATTCTCACCTGAAACTACTTATACCCAGTGTTGGGGAAAGTTACTTTTAAAATTAATGCATTACAATATTGCGTTACTCCATAAAAAAGTAACTAATTACGGTACTTAGTTACTTTTTATGGAAAGTAATGCGTTACGTTACTTTTGCGTTACTTTTAAAATCTGGACAGGGTTTGCTTGCTTGTTTTTAATATAAAAAAAGTTATATTTTTGGCAAATGTAACAGCCTTTGCACACCAAAAGTTAAATGAATGAGCCTCAGGCTGAAGGGAAAGTACATTTATGTCCGTACAGTAGAATGCAGAAGAAGAAATTTCAACACTTTTTGTTTATTAGTGGTTGAACTGACTCATCGAAGGTCAGAAGCAAAGACATTGCTTAATAGAATGGGATTAAATACATAAAGCATATTTGTGTTGTTTAACATTTCATTATTGCAGGTTTGCGTCATATTCTGAGTTGCATTATTTTTATTCATTTTGAGGAATACTGAATCTGTGTGGTTTTTTTTGTGTGAGTGAGATGAATGAATGCATATTCATATTTATTTTAGAACTACAGTAACATCTTCTGATTTCTCTCAACATGGGGACAGGAGAGCTGTCAATCAATAAATTGAAGAAGAAAAAAAAAAGTAGCTTGCGTTACTTATTTGGAAAAGTAACTCAGATATTCTCTTGTAAATTTAAAAAGTAATGCGTTACTTTACTAGTTACTTGAAAAAAGTAATCTGATTACGTAACTCACGTTACTTGTAATGCGTTACCCCCAACACTGCTTATACCAGTCAACATGTCTTGCACCAAAACGGTAGTAATTTAGTATTTAGTACTTTTAAAATGTAGTATTTCATTTTTAAAAGACACTTTTCCATCATTTTCAACTAAACATCGTGTTTTGCTACCGTAGATGGAAATTACATTTGAGTGGCTGTGTCATTTGCACATAGAAAGAGTAACATATAATAGGGCTGGGCGATATGGCCAACAAAATGATCACGGTAATTTTTTTCATATGCGTCGATATCGATAATTATCACGATACATGTCAAATCTTTATTTCTTTCAAGTTTAAAGCCAGATTTTTGCTCCAAAGTGAAAGTTGTAGAAACCCAGGCCATTCATTTTCCTTAACAAAATAAATATCTAAATAGAAAAAAAAAAATTCTTAGTTTCTGCATGTCCTAACGAGTGATATTGTTTCAAATCAAGAAACAGATTTGAGTTATTATTTGGATAATATTAATAATAACACTTTTTTTGTCTCTTAGAAATCCACATTTGATAGTAGCTTGAGTTAGGATGCAGAGGTCAATTTTTGTTCAAAAATCAAAATCAGTAACATCTGCAAAAATTGTAGCAACCTCAGTTTTATATGGTTACATTTATTCTGACCAAGTTTTTAATATTTTTTTATTAAGCATTGGTCTCCCATAGTAGCATACATTTAAATCATGATAAACACAGTTAAAGCCACACATAGAGCACCTCAATACCATGGTAAAAATATAAATATATGGTTTTTAGGTAGCCTATTTGTATGAAAAGCAGTAGTCTAAAACACTCGGTATAAATGCACACATTCTATAGCTTAACCACAAATACATAATACAATTATATACCATTATATACCATTATTCTTTTAATAAAATTCAGTGTGAATATCCCAAATTTAGCCACAATATCCCAAATTAAAGCCACAATACCATGGTGCAGTGAGTGTTACTACAGTAAATCCATGGTAAATGATGGCGACGTGTAGATTGAAAAGCAAAAAATTGGTGTATGTGTGTGTGAGGCACCGACGCGATCACTGCATTGTTTTCCCAACTGTAACTCCGTAATTTATGGTCGTACCAATGCTGGTTTGTCATACAGATAGAAGCAAAACATCAATCAAAACTGTAAAGCTTTTGTAAAATAAAGAAAACTGCTTTCTGCCGTCTCGATTTTTTCCTCCGTGAACTCGCGCGTTACAATTATCCGAAATTCAGCACAATTTTTTTATTTTGTTTTGTTAATCTGTTAATGATTTAAGTGAAATATATTTTGTGTATAGGCCTATATATTCCTTTTAATGTAGCCTATATAGTTTTATTCTGTTTTCTCCATTCACAGAAACGCTGCAGGTGCATGATGTGACCTTGTGTGAAGCTGTGTTCTTCACTGGTTTCAAACAAAAAGCTGCATATTACCTGCCA